TTTTTTCCGTTGTGATCCTCTTGTGATCATGGGGGCCAACCACAAGTCGCTACGCTTTGGACATCCATGGCAAGCTTCATACACGGCCTTTCGTAAAAAAAGAACTGTGCCGGAAGCATGAAGCTTTCTACTTTCCAGCAAAACTTTGATTTTCTCCCTAGGCCTGCTATTCGAAAAAATCCCCCGTTGTGATCATTTCGTGATCACTCCCCCACGACACGAAAAATCAACCCCTCCGAGGCCATGAAACCTCCAGTTGACTTGAACACTTTGGTATGCTTCTAAAACATGTTTTCGTCAAGTATATCAGGTAATAGTTCATTGGGCTCTAATTGGCATCACCTCTGCAATGCGCCATGCATAGGGCTTTCAGGCAGAGGTGTTGGGAAGGTGCAACTTCTAGATAGGGCTTCCTAAGCGCAAGCACATGTGTTCCTGCGATCAGAAAGGTCTGAAAATGTACTTTCATCTGTTTATTGATCGTCACGTCGTGAGTCCTTTGGTTTATTTATAGATATGGTGCCCTTGTGGGCGGTCATCGTAGCTCCTATCCATCGCCCCTTCCTCGTACGTATTGTCAGTATGCTACACCAGCGCCAGAGTGCTGGACGTGCTTGGGACGTACGTAGGTACTGCGACCTCCCCCCCCCTCCCCCGCTCGACAGCAAAATTTTGTAAAAAAACCAGAGATTTTTCGGGAAAAAATGGGCAAAGTGGTAGGAGGTTGGGAGAATCTAGGAAAGTGGAAGGTAGCATGGGGAGGGGGTCGTACTTGAGGATGGAATTAGGGGGATCATAATTTTCAGGAAATGATCACAACGCAATGGCGTGCCCTGTCTGCGTCGCAGCTGTAAAATTTGCCCCATATTTTTTTCGAAAAAAGGCGAAAAATTCCCGCCCACTTGCCAATTCGAAAGAAGCCTGTGCTGTTCAAAATAAACCCTCTATACAGGCCAAACTTCGAAAAGTGTCGGAGCCCCGGGTGGGCTCCCCGACATACATATTATACGTCTTGGCGCAGCGCCAGCCCATTTCCATCATGGCAGCCCACCCTTCAGTGGGCGACTCTAGAAACCAAAAACTAGGTGCTCAGGAACGCTACCAGCAGAAGCTCCATCAAGGGCTATACCTACATAACAAAACGATTATAGGCTATGAAGCCAAGGGAACGGTCAAAGACTGAATAGGTTCCTGTCAAAGACTAGTAATTACCTTTCTGTACTACCAAGTACGTCTGAACGTTGGCAGCGATGAGATCAGCTACAACCTGCAAAGATAAAATGACCCGAATCAGCTGTTTATGTGGGACACTTAATTACCAGTGAAATCGAGTAAGATCTGGTAGTAATTAAGAAACAGACTTCACTCACTGATTCAGTGTCGTTAGACCAAGAATCCAGTAAGGGAATGCCGCTGCGTACAACTAACTAGTCGACATCGCGTCTTCAAATGAGCCAAATACCCTTTGTAAGTCTGCATCGAACTTCTGGGAAAAAAAAACGATTCATCTAGTTTCTGCCCTGCTAAGGTTGATAGCAGTACGGAAGTACAAAGTACGGTTCCAATATTATTCCTACGTCTAATTTTGCTTTGTTTTAATTTGCCTGAATCACCGCTTGGAAGGCCACAGGATATGCGGAACAAAGAAGCTAATGTCCCAAGGTCAAAAAGGAACGTCCTTGTGTTTCTAAACCAGTTCCATTAGCCATACTAGTGGAGTGGGAGCGCCTGTTGACTCGATGCTGCGCGCGTACCAGACCTTCACGCTCTTCTGTTGTACAGCAGCGACCAAATGAAACAACCATACCACTGGTAATCGACGAGACTGTAGCAAGTTGTAATGTAACCTTTTCAAAAATGTCGTCCGTATTGGCGGAGTTCATCTGATCGATTGTCACGAAGGAATCTGCTTTGGAACGTTCGAAAGTCTTCACCGACTGCCACACTGCCTGAATTGAAATTTGATTAAAGGCAGCGGGCATGATGGCTGGCGGTTACTGCCAACGTCATTGATGGAAAGGATCAGTGGGGTGGGGCGAAACGTCTTCTCGCAGCCCTTCCACCAATGACCTTGGTAGTAACTCCCCCCGTCCCCCCTTCGGCCATCGTGCCCCTGCCTCAATTCTTATTTACGCCAAAGGTCGTGCTGAGCGTGTAGGAGGTACCATGCGGTGACACAGCTTCTTACAACGATGGCCGAACAATCGCGTACAGCTCACTATCCTTTCTGGCGCTTGTGCATGCATGCAGAAAGGATAGTGAGCTGCACGCGATTGTTCCTCTGACACCCCAGCATCGCCTTTGACACGAAGCACAATCCCACAACCTAGAAAATATTTCCTATGTATTGTCTTACGCTAATGAATTCTGAAGACTTCTGACCGTTGTGAATCGATCGATACTCGTGAAAATGAGCGGTGCGTCCATGCGAAATACGCATACATTTCCTCCCACAAACTCTAGATGTTTTTTCTTCGTCTCTTTGAAAATGTCAGATTCAGAATCGCGGGAAAGAAAGTGCCATTTTGGCCTGAAACTATCTGTTACACCATAATAGTCACGGTGGATTACGTTCGAGAGCTCTCACTCTACTTATTCAGGGTCGAAAGAAAAACGAAATACGAAAGAGAAACGAATAGAACGAGAGGCAGCCTGCGGAATAGCTGAGGATACCTTAGGTCAATTGACTCTATCCTACTCACTGAAGTGCTTTCAACATACCTCTGCATCCGTATTATCGTTGTTAAGACAGCGAACCCTGTGGCAAGAAGTAGTCCCTCTCCCATATCGAAGCAGACTGTCAATACCATGCTCATCACCCATATAGTCTATAAATATAAAGCTACTATATTCATAGTAAAAAGCAGCAGATGTGGCTATTGTGTGCCGCAGATGCTGGCGTGATTGGATGCTTCATATTGCCACCAATCATCAACTCGCGAGCTTCGAAGCCGTCAATTCCAAATTTTTTCAGGATACCCTATGACGGAAAATTTTTTCAGGGTACCCTATGACGGAAGGATACAGAATTGACTGTAAGGAACTCACGAAATCGACTTTGAACACGGGCCAAAGTTCTCGTAGTTCAGCGAATTTTGCAAACATAGCCCTTTGTGACACAATAATCATAGCCGATAAAATGCATTTCGGGAGATATTCCAGTGCGGGTCCGATGTAGAGAATGACCAGAACTAAGGCCAACGATGAGAAAAGACAGGTCAACTGTAAAATGCAAATTATCAATGTAATTTCTCTCGTTTCTTCGTGTTGCGTGCCAAACGTTCTCCAGCTAACACCAGGCACGCTCACAAAACCACTCATAGTAGTACTTCAAGCTCTGATCGCCTTTACCGACGTCCTGCACTTTTTGCACCGCTGGAAAAAATTGGCACAATACGAGCCCCTCAAAATTTCTTTTCGTGAGACATACCACGCCTCCCTGTCCGTATAGCCCCATACCTAACTCTTGGAAGTCCCCTAACTTCCGTCCAATTTCCTTTTCCAAAGTTTTCCTATTTTGCGAGGAGGACAGAAGAAAAGGGTACCTGACGTAACGAAAGGTGACGAATGTGAAGTGGGGGAAAAAAGAAAAAGCCAAGAAAGCCAACAGTCAAAAACCCTTTCCACAAAGGCGGACCACTGCATTTCCCCTCCCCCCCCCCCCCCCCCTTACCTCGGGAACGTTGAAATTAGGGGGGCTCCCTTCGTATCGGTACAACTCTACACAACTTGCTGGATAGCGCCAAATTCCAAAGGAAAATACACATTACCTGCTGTACTAACATGCCAACTCAAGCAGCGTCCAGACGATCATCTTTCGAGAAATCCAGATGTAACCGGAACAGACCGGGAAAAAATGCGATTAAAACGCCGACAAAACGCATCGTGCATCATAGCTCCTTCATAGTCGGTGCTCATCGATTCGACCGACTATAGTGTCACTAGAATACAAGATAAAGTTGTGTCACTGCCAACCCCCGCCCGGGCGGTCGTCCTCTCCTCATAACGGCAACCTCCCCCGGCTGTACCCGATAGCATTAACTTCTGTATTTTGCTTACGACCGATTTTGCGTCTTTTTCAATCGAATTTCTAGCGATCCCACGTAAGCCGTTGAATTGCAACGGCTGGTTCCAACCTAGCAATAGCGACAGCCGTTAACGCCAAGGTATTGAATAAGGTCGAAGCGAGGCAGTGAAGGTGGAGGAAATCTGGAACAAATGCGGTACTTCACCTAAACAGGCACATTCCACGATTTGAGTCGTAGGTATTGTGGTCGATAAGGTATGTTAGTGACAATTGAGTCATAAGTGAAAAAAGGGTAGAAGAAACCTCCGAGAAGCCACAAATAATTATTGACTGGTTCCCAGCGTTGGATGAGTATGCGTTGAAGAGAGAGACGCAGAGACACTAGGCTGGAGGACGATATTTCAGATAAGAGCGAGTGTAAACAGCAGAGCAGCCATTATATAGATCATTTTCAACGGTCTATTTAGCTTTTTTCTTCGGAGAATTACAGCACTTGGGAAACTTCGGCCTTTGGAAATACTGGTTCAACCCCACTACTCTTAGCTTACTATCATGACGCGTGCCTTCACAACGCATAGGTCGAGCTATATGTGAGTTTCATCTAATTGGTGCCACTCGTGGATCATTGGTACGTAAACTATCCCGAAAAAAGTACCACGGGCGGTAACAGGCTACCCTTTCCCCAACACTCATCGAGACCTCAGATTTGGAAAGTTGAGAAATGTCACAAAGTGAAAAGGAACATAAAGACTCACTCGGTTGGTATATTTCCCAGTACTTTGATATCATAGCGTCGTGACAATTCAGCATAATTGGTGGCAGTAATGCCGACGACAGCCTGTTAATTAATTAGTTAATGGAATAGGTGGCCAGACATTCCAAAATGATGAAAAATGAAGCTTTATTAAAGCTGGAATTCATAAAAAAAATTTATGCAGCTCGACTATCACGCACAGATTCGTTCTGCTGACCCTTACTGCTTCATTCAATACGTTAGATCACATAGGTATACACACCTTCACAGCTACATTACTCAAGGATTTGAGAAGGCGTAGTTTACTGTGTGAGCACCTGGAGCTACTCAACTCTCTTCGAGAAGCTTTTCGGAAACAATATTGGTAAGTTCAGCAATTCTGCTAGTTTTTTGATTGATCATCATGAGGGTAGAGGGTAGTGGGTGTAGTAGCCACCTGTCAGGGCGACAGAGTCAGCGCCAATGTCTTGTGGGAGTTGGGCCACATATCACTGGGTGCTGAGACATTCAACTAACGACCAGCGCCCCCCCCCTCCTCTTTTCTTCCCAATGGCACTGATGTCGACGCCACGACTCCTAATTAACAAGAACTATCTTCGATGATTAACAGTGAAAAGCAGCCTACACCATGGACTCCTCCTTTCCTAGGGCGAGATGAAAGCTTTACTGGCAGTTCGCGTTAAAAGAAAAATATCTG